GAGAGAGAGAGAGAGAGAGATAGAGATAGAGAGATAGATTCACCTCCCCAAGGTAAGGGAGGGGGCCAAAGCTTAAGAAAACAAAACATGGCCTGGCCGTAGGTCAAAGAATACATGGTTAGACCATAACTTAGCAAAGCAGTGGTGGCTTGATCTTATTTCTTTGTTAATTTTATTGTTCTTATCTTATTTATTTTTTGAAAATTAATTTATTATTTTATTTTTTTGTAGAGATGAGGTCTTGCTATGTTGCCTAGGTTGGTCTCAAGCTCCTGGACTCAAGCAGTCCTCTTGCTTTGGCCTTCCAAAGTGCTGGGATTACAGGCATGAGCCACCACACCCGGCCTGATCCTATTTCTTAGTAGAATTCTTATCTGCAGGCAACTAGTCTTTTTTTTTTTTGAGTAGGAGTCTTACTCTGTTGCCCAGGCTGGAGTTCAATGGCATACTCGCAGCCACTGCAGCCTCGACCCACTGGGCTCAAGTGATCCTTCTGCCTCAGCCTTTTAAGTAGCTGGAACCACAGGTGTGTGCCACCACACCTGGCTAATTTTTTGGTATATTGTAGAGACGAAGTCTCACAAGTTTGGTCTAAAACCCCAGGGTTTAGGCAATCCTCTTGCCTCAGCCTCCCAAGGTGCTGGGATTACAGGCGTGAGTCACTGTGCCTGGCTAGCTAGTTGTTTTATAGTAAATTTCTTTGGTGTCTTTAATGCCAAGTAGAGAAAAAATGTTAAAATTATTTCTGAAAAATTGTTTTTGTATCCAAAACTTAAAAGCCTTATTTTGTTTCAGTGATTCCAAATCTAAGAAGTCAGTAGCTTATAATTATGCATGCATACTTATTTTGGTGGTGGTTCAGTCTTCCAGTGATGTTCAAATGCTAGAACAACATGCAGCATCTCTCTTGAAGCTTTGTAAAGCAGATGAAAATAATGCTAAGTTGCAAGGTAGGTACTGAAGTTATTTTAAGCATTTGTAATATGTGAAGGAAAAAGCCTTTGAATATTTGTAATTAGAGCTTCATCATGTTTCAATAATATATCTAGTAAAACTCTGTTTTTAACTTCCTTAAATTACCTTTTATGAAGATAGTTTATAAAACTAAAGATTGATAGAATATTTTAGTATTTATTTATTTGTTTGTTTATTTTGAATTGGAGTCTCACTCTGTTGCCTAGGCTGGAGTGCAGTGTCACACTCACGGCCACCCCAGTGTTGACCTGCTGGGCTCCAGTGATCCTTCCGTCTCAGCCTTCCAAGTAGCTGGAACTACCGGTGTGTGCTATCACACCTGGCTAATTTTTGATTTATTGTGGAGTCTAGTCTCGCCAAGTTTCCCAGGCTGCTCTTGAACCCACGGGCTCAGGCAGTCTACTCGCCTCAGCCTCCCAAGTGCTGGGATTACAGGCTGAGCCACCAAGCCCAGCCAATATTTTAATTTTTAAATGAAAAGTTTTACAAGTATCCTTTCTGGAAAGTCATGAAAATTGGTGATCAGTTGAAGTATCTAATCAAAATGGAACTGATAAAGGTGAACTCAAAAGTTCAGTTTTGGGTATAGTTTTGCCTCTGTGTGCTTTGCTACATGTGTGTTTCTTTTGTTGTTGTTGTTGAATTGGAGTCTTACTCTGTCACCCAGTTGAGTGCAGTAGCATGATCATGGCCTACCACATCCCTGATCTTCTGAGCTCAACCAATTCTTCCCCCTCAGCTTCCCTGGTAGTTGGGACTATAGGCATGTACCACCATACTAGGCTAATTTTTGGGCTGTTTTTTTGGGGGGGGTAGAGATGAAGTCTTTCTGTGTTGCCCAGGCTGATCTCGAACTCCTGGACTGAAAGCATTCTGTCGCTGCAACGTCCCAGGTATGAGCTGCCACTCTCTACCTGTGTATATATTTCTAAGTACAATACTATTCTGAGTACAATTTAGAAATCTATTTGTGGCTTAACACATGTGTGTTGTTCTCAAAAGTAAACAATACTGGATATGAACTTTTTTTAGGTATATAAATATATATTTAATTAAGTTCACAGAAAACTTTATGTGAATAGTTTAAAACAAGTTTAAGATATTGAATCATAATTTTTAAATTATTTTATTTTGACTTCTGGCTTTGTGAAATTATCAAGTAGAAAATGTGGAACATTGAGTCAATATTCTAAAAATGCTAGCATGTGGACTCTTCTTTTTTTTTTTTGAGTTGGAGTCTCACTCTGTCGCCCAGACTGGAGTGCAGTATCCGCTCCCAGCCACCACAGTCTCGACCTGCTGGGCTCCGGTGATCCCTCCGCCTCAGCCTTCTGAGTAGCCAGAATTACAGGCATGTGCTACCATGCCCGGCTGATTTTTTTATTTATTGTAGAGATGAGGTCTCGCCAAGTTGCCCAGGTGGATCTCGAACCCGCGAGCTCAGGCAATCCACTCACCTCAGCCTCCCAAAGCGCTGAGATTACAGGCTGAGCCACCGAGCCCGGTTGATATTTACTCTTTTAAAGTGTTCAATTCAGTTGCTGTTACTATATTAATAAAGTCCAACAACCATCACCACTATTTGATTTACAAGATTTCATTACTCCAAAAGGAAAGATGTACATTGGCAGTCTCTTTCTAACCCTTTCTCCACCAGTCTCGGGTATTCATTAATCTATTCCTGTCTTTATTCATTTGTCTGTTCTGAATATTTTATATAAACGGGATCATATATTATTTAGCCTTTTTTCTGACTTCATTCAACTAGTACCACGTATTTCAGATTCTTCCTGACCCATTTTATACAGCATGATTCTTACTTTGCAATGTATTTCTTACTAGTTCAAGTAAACTTCAAAATCATTTTTTTCTCTTGGAAAGTTTGGTTTATTGCAGTCCTGTAATTTTGTTCAAAGGTGGAAAGCCAAGTGTAAGCCATGTCTCTTCAAAATGAAGTGAGTTGGAGTTACCCTTCACTTCACTCCTTTCCCTGGTTCACTAACTGTTTTGTGTGATCTGTGAAATAAAGGTGCTGTCTG